CAGACACAGAACAAGAAACTAAAAAAAAACTGCTCTTGTTTAATATGTACATTTGAAAAACTAAATTTGCTACTTTAAATCTCACTCGCTAATACATGAAATGACCCACCAGAGTCTCAGCTGTAAGTTCAGGCTGTTCACCAATAACACACGCAGGAAAATCAATGACTGAGATCCTGTAAGAAAAACAAAGAGAAATCAAGAGTAAATATTACAGTTTGTGAAGGATTGTAAATAATAAACTGACTTACAAGTTATATCAAACTGTAACAAAATTATTTAACACAAACCCTGTTTTGTCATGCCATTACAAAAACTTGTTTTGATAAACATTTATAAAAAAAACACTTCTAACCATAATTGTTCAAATTATTAATTTCTTTCCTATTATGCACCCGGCCCACCTCTTTCCATTTTTGGAAATGCTCCCTTATATACACTTACTTCTATATATGACATGAATAACCAATCGGAAGCTCAAAATGTCCCCCTAGTGGCTTTCTGAGCCATTTTAATGGGGTTGAATGCCATTTCTTTCTTTGGAACCAATATTTCAATGAGGTAGGATGTGTCTTTAGTCTGCTTGAAATTTCATATTTTTTTTAGACTAAAAGATATCTTAGTTATTAAGCTTGATAAATTATAGTGGAATTCTATGGTATTGATGTAGTAATTTAAGATCTTTTAGTTATTTAAATGTGCAAGATTTTTAAAGGCTTAGCTAGAACAGATATTTGATTGTTTTACTTCTTTAGTTACTGTTCTATGTTTTAAGAAAAATATGTTTAAGAACTTATTTCTAAATAGCAATAATCTATATACATATATAATGTATAATAATTGAAATGTGGCTATTTTACAAAATACTAGTCTACTAAAACACAGCCAAGATGAGTTGCTTTGTATAGACCAAAGGTCAGTTCTGTGTTATTGAATACGGTAACATGACTGCACATGTGCCGTGTCACTTTTTTTTTTCAAATTTTTTAAATTTTCAAATTTCATTTATGTAATCTCAAAAACCTCTATAAATAAATAAATAACAAACTTTGTTTTTCAGAAAAACTATATTTCATCTGTTATTTTCTCTATCATAACTCTATACAGGGTTAGACCGACCTCATAATCACCATTTAAAATTAAGAAATAAATCTAAATTAGCCATTTTTCCTTCCAGAATGACTGCAAATTGTAACGTGAAACACAATCGTTTATGCTAAATAGCTCAAAGTTTGTAACAGTACAGATCTATTTATAGTTAATTTTATTGACATTTGAACCATGTCTAGCTAATAATCGTGCCACACAAGTTGTAAATCACTCAGCAAATATGCAGCTCAAGTTACTATATTGAATTACATAATGCATGAGATACACGCATACCATCTTCTTTATGGCTTCATAATCAAATAATATTGAAGGCTGAGCAATACCTATATTATAATAAATAATTCACATTAAATTCTGTACTTCTACAAGGGGTGGTAAATAAATTACAGAATAGGGAAGACCTAGAGAGCAAATGTAACAATTATCATGCAAGGATAGATTGAGGATTGTTGGAAATATTTCCTTATAAAATTAAGAATTTGAAACTTACATAATATTAAAATCTGATTTATTAACTACATTTTGATTCAAGTTTATTCATGTGCACTGTTAATAAAGTAATTTAAATAAATTTTTAAACTTCATTTTGCAAATGGTTGTGACTTGAACACTTTGACCCACCCAATGCAAAAGGGTTAATATACTGATTCTGCTACTGGACACTTACTTAAATTTATTACTGTGTATTTAGGTGTGTCTATGGTGTTAGGAATCTTCTTGCTTTGATAATAAGAGATAATTTCTTTACTACCAAATTGTTTGTGAAGTTCGAATAACCATGTGAATCGTAATTATCTAACATAGATCATTACTATTATGGTGTTTCCTGAGATCTATTGTGGTATTTGATCCTATATTGAAGCATGATTTTATTGTGGGGCATTGACAGATAATGTGACTTCGAGAATTATGTAGTTCCAGTTTTAACAATCTATCTGAATAGACAAAATCTCACAGAATGATTCACAATTGAAATAAAAGAAAATTAATAACTCTCATTCCAGAGCATAATGTTTACAAAACACAAAACTTTTATAGCACAGAATACAAACATATACCTCAACTATAAATCAATCTACCACAACAGTGTAAAGACAGGCATCGTAGACTGCCTAGTTTCCAGAATGAACAAATTCATAAAACCCAAAATTCTAAGAAGACAAAAGATAAACACCATTAACAATAGGTAGTCAGAACATTTCACACCACAATATGAGTGCAGTTGGTAAACACCAAACTAACTAAAGGACCAATAGAGAACAAAAGTACCATTTACAACCACACCCTTGTGAATGTAAACTTCAATATATTTGACACAAAATAACCAATAAGAATTAAAATCCAGGTGTCTTACAGGTGCAAGAATCATCTATCTGTGATAGCCCATCATGATAGAGAAGAAGACCACATGATAAACTGGAATAATAGATAGGTAATGAGATGTAAACTACAAATTAGAAAAAATAAAGGTAAGCTTTCTACATCCACCTAAGTGGAATACCTTCAATCAACCCAGCATAGAAGTTGCCAAAACTTGAATTCACCAACTACTAATACTGAAAACTCTAAATGAGTGGATATCACACAAGTCTTTCAATCACGAAGACCCAGAATTGAATTCTGGCCACTACTGCTGCAGATACAGACCTTCTCATGACTTCAGCAACCAAAATGCACAATATAAGCTAGTTAGTAATTAGTATCTAGTGATAATAAGATAGAAAATTATAATATAAATAATTAGGCTTAAGTGATCCTATAGGCCACTAACAAAGATTGATATATGATTGCCACAACCTTACCATAAGTAACCACATCAGCCAAAACCACAATAAAGCTTCACTTCCATCTGTTCGTTGAGATGCATACAAACAAACAATGAGATATAAACACAGAATAAAAGCTTTCATAGAATAAAAATATCCTAGTAACTATACTATACAAATCATCATACTAAATCTGTCAGTTTCTCTTAACACAGAACATTTCAATAGCTGCACTGCTCACTGTAGCCAGCCATTAAAAGAAAGTAAAAAACAATCAGATGGGTAACATACAAGTTGTTTAGAAATTATGTTAACATACACTTTGTAGTAAAAAATTAAATAAAAGCTATTACACTACATTTTCAGTTTCATATAAAAAATATTTAACGGATACTTGAGCATAATTACTTGTTCAGCCACACATTCTGTCTCAAACTGTGAAGATTGTCACAAAATAAACATATGCATTTTACTTACGTATTTTTTGCACCCACATATGACATTATGTTTTGGTTGAAAAACTTCAACACCAAGGGTATACAGTTGGCAAACATAAGTTGTTGGCTCATATACTCGAACTGGTAAACGTGGTTAATCTTGAAATGTTTCAGGAGGAGAAGTAAGATTCCAGATATTGCCTTGACGATGATTTCTTTATGTCGATTGACATCAATCCCTAACTTCATCGACTGTAAAACAGTCATTCTAAAAACAGAAATCAGTTAACTAACAGCTAAATCAGATCAAAAAAAGAACATAAACAGTTGACCAAGGTACATGAAATTAAACCTTTTTTGTTCACTGTTTGAGTTCTTACGTGTAAGTTAGGATAACCCGATACCTTCCAGAATAGTATGTAAGCTACCTTGCAGGAGATAGCCTAACTTTCCTATGATATGTGATCTTAACAAAATATTTTATAATGACAAAACTTCTAATAAATCTGTTTATTAACAACCAGAAACAGTACGTGTTATTTCATATCTGATAACCAAAGTTTAAACTCACAAAGAGAAATGTTATTGACAATGAATGGTTCAATAGATTATTTAAAACTTCTGAAAATATTACAGCTATAAAACAAGTTCTTTGACTTACGGCATTTCTTCTGGTAGAACATCAGAAATGATGTTGATTGACTCCGTCTTAGCTTTGGATGTAGGTGCTGCAGCAAGAAGAATCTTCAGAAGTGCAATCTAATAAATACATTTTAAACATACTATACGTACTTCAGTTTAACTTCGCATTTAATCATTATATCAATAGGTTCAAGAAGAAATTTCAATTATGCAATAACAAAAATACTTACAAAATTTAATGTTACTAAATGTATTTCACATATAACTGTTATACTAATATGTTTGATTTTCCATAATGCAATCTTACAAATAGTCTCAAATTTCAACCTACACATTAGCATTATAAGACAACATCCTAACATATTGGATTCACGACATTCAGAGCTTCCTCAATGGGCTAAATACTCAGTGATGAGATATGAGAAATAATTTAGTTATGTATTTATATATTTGTCAAATTAAAAGCATATGTAATTAAAATGTAAATGAAACTTTTAACATACTTCGGAATTTAAAGTATCTATAATACTTACTAAAATAATCTCTAAGAATATTAGACAGTTTTTAAAATTGCAGGGCTCACTAAAAGTGGACATACTATAGCTATCACTTTATTGCAGTCTCTCTCAATAAAAATTGAAATGTTGAGAGAGGAAAATAATTCAGGAGTAAAAAACGTTGTCCTAGATATATTTTGATATTTGCATTCCTAATTGATATAACTCTCATTACAATAGCGAAACACTCTCAGTCAAAGAAATTAATAATAAACTACAATTTTTTTTTCATTGTGAATAAAATGATGACTCACTGCCTCCCCCCCCAAAAAACAAGCAACTGATTTCTTCAATTTAAAAATAGCCAGATTTTAAGTGAGTAGTATTATTTGATGTTAACCTTTCTGTCACAAGATATCTAAAAAAAACAAACAATTTTTAATAAAGATAATCCATTTCATTAATTCTTACCATGTACTGTGGAAGATTAGGAAACATGACCTGATAAAATAATTCAACAGCGTTCTGAGTAACATTACACTCCTTCTGGAATAAAGTTACAGAAAAATGATTAACAATTCATATTTACTCAGTTCTCAAAGTTCATTTTCATCACACAAATCAGTCAGAAAAAAAAAAAGGTATGATTAAGAAAAACTGGCAAAGCATTAGAAACCAACAAGTCTAAAATGTGTGATAAAAATCATGTTACCTGCAGATTTTATTTAATACATACTTCTTAACTGTGTTTCAGAGAATCTTTTGCCTCTCATTATCAAGCCCGACCAACAAGTTCTGGCATTGAAAGAAAGGCCTCTTTGGCAGCGACTTGTAAAAGACAAACGATAGATCTGAATGCTATTTTTACACAATGAATAAATCAAGAGTAACTGAAAAAACCAACAAAAAACAATTGCAATTAACTAGATTTTTCTATCTTAAGATGAGTTTGGATGAAAAAAAAAGTACAACTTTCATGATTATAACACATTTTACATCTTTTTAAAAGTTTATTTTAATAAAACATTAATGAGAAAGAATGTAACTTAAAATAATATCACGGTGAACAAACATGATAGTATTACGGTGAACATACAGGATAATATTACAGTGAACATACAGGATAGTATTATGGTGAACATACAGGATAGTATTACGGTGAACATACAGGATAATATCACGGTGAACATACAGGATAGTATTACGGTGAACATACAGGATAATATCACGGTGAACATACAGGATAGTATCACGGTGAAC